ATCTCCCGGATGGGGGGATTCTATGAACGTTTAGTTTGGGGCTAGTTAAAAGTGCGACTTAAAAATCATAGGGAGAAAACTTCTTGCAAGATTCAACTTCAACACTATAAAGGAAGTGGAAATGTTGTCAATTCGAGACCTTATTTAAGAAGAAATGATTTTCTTCTAACATCCCTTTGACACTGGGCATTTTTAACATTAAATCCAACACCGGTGTACCACTTGAGCACGACGATGGTGATGAAACTATTTACGCTGTTCGAAAGTTCACTGAAAAACTGTTAAAGATTTGGAAAAAAGGACAAAGATTACTGAATGAGTTCTGGAAATTTGGGCGTGATAGTAACCTGTGAGTTTAAGAAGCGCCTTCAGAACTCAATTAAAATCAGGACGGAAATTTACGCACAAAAATACCGAGTGTGGGGTGATGTTTGTGCAAATAAAGGAAAATTTTCTAGAGAAGTTGAAAATTGGTCGCATTGTGGAGTTAGGAACAAGTAATGAATGGAGAAATTCGATCTTGCTAAAGTACAGCTACTTCGAAGAGACTGATAGGCAGACCCCTTTGAACTTACTTAATCTCTTGAATGTGATTAAAAAATTCACATTTATTGATGACAAAGGGGATACGACAGTGAGAAAGTGAAAAGAAACCAGATAAAGTATCAAACAGACAGGCAGGGGAAATTGCAAAACAAAAATTAAAAACTATTTAAGTAAAAAATTATAAAAAAAATCAATGATGTCAAATAACGATGATATTCATAAAATACAATATGTGTTTTAGTTTCTAAACATTAAACATACCAACTCTGTATCAAATAGAGACGCACATAGACAGTCTTTAATGTTTGACATTATAGCAATGTTGTTAAAACACTCAGGAAGAGATTGTGAGAGACTATTTGTTCATACATAAGCACTTTTTTATATATTCGTTTTTACTTCATGTATTTGAAATAGATCATATGATGTATTGCATTAATTTGACACTCCAAGTTTATCAATGTGCCATTGTTAATAAGATGTTTCGCTAACATAGTGTTTTCTACGATGCTTCATTTTCTATATGTAATGAATACTTGGTATTTAAATGCTGTTCTTTGAATATGCTCCTTTAAACTTTATTGTATGTTGATACTCCGTTTATTGCTCTTTGGATTTCGCGCCAAAGTCTTATTATATTACATTGCTCCTTGTAACTTTCCCGCCATTGAATTCCCTCCACAAACATATTCACGTGCTTTTCATGATAGCTTTGGTATAAATAGAGACCGGGCATGGTCACAGAAGTTTAGTGGTGTGTTAAAAAGTATTGTAAGAAGGAAAATAGTGATTGAAATATGAAAAGGATTTTGATGTAAAATACATTAAAATAGTAAAAAGTGTTAGAGAGATAAAAACTTGTGGATTGTAAAAGTAAAATAAAAAATTGTTTAAAAATTGAATATTAAAAGTAGAAACGAAAAAGTGTTTCTCTTTTTTTCATTGTGTTTACGACAAACGTGTACAAAAGATTTAATACTGAATGTTATATTATTTTCAATTATTTATGTTTGTTTTATGAATTTTCTTATTATAAATGTACATTTTTTGTGATATCATTACTCTTTGTTCACAACACAACTTACACACCTTAATGTTTCGGTTTTCGGTTTAAAGTTAACGTACAAGTGTTGTTTTTCACTAAGAGTCTTTTTTTCCTACTATTGCTCAATTTAAATCATATACAATGAGATTATAAGATAGTAAATAATTGATAGTTTGCGTAAGTGTCCTTATTCATGATATAAAATAACAACAACAGGCCTAGCTTAAACACCATCATAATCGCCTTTTGATAATTTCGTTTCGATTAAGGCTAATTACTTAATGTGTGATTTGGCAATCATTTAAATATTATAAAATTTATTTTTTCAATAATTATTCATCGTCTTTCCTCAAAATTGAAATTATTGTAACTTTAAACTTTACTTAATTGAATTTAATTTTACCTCTGCCTTCACCTAAGTAATTTTGTTACAATAAACGAGCTCAGGTCTGATGCTCTTGATATATACACATATGAACCTGATATCTATGCAACTAAGTAGCTTATTCCCTATATATATATTCATTCAATTGACATTTGTTGAGAGATATTACAGATAAATTGCATTAGTTTTCTTTTAGTATGTTTGTACGTATTATAATTATGCCTTTTCTTTACTAATTTATATAATTCTAAAACAATCTTGTATTTATATTTACTGTATAAATGATCCTTTGTATTATCTGTAATATGTATAATGTAAATGCTCTTCAGTGATGGAGGTAATAAAGATAATAATAATAATCTTTATCTAACTAGAGAACCTAAGTTTTGAAATTATATCATGACTCAATATTTATTTCAAAAGGATATGCCTTTAAAGGCATATATGTTTTACAATGTCTGCCGCCACAAACAAAATGATGGTTACAAATGTGTTTATTGTTTGATTGGGTTTTACGTCACACCGACACAGTAGAGATCATATGGCGACGTTCCAGCTTTACTAGTGCAGGAAGACCTCGGGTGCCCTTCCTGGCATTATTTCATAACCACCGACATTCCGTTATCTAGCTGAAAGAAAAAAAAGTACCTATCAGGATTCGAATCCACAAGGGTGAGGGGCTGGTTTGAAGACAACGACCTTCACCACTCGGCCACGGACACCCTACGGTTACAAATAGTAAATGAGAAAAGTATGTAGTAAACTGAATACAAGTGATATATACAAATCATTCCTTCATTATAAAGCATTACACATAAGTCTAGACATACAATTTGAATAATTCAAGAATGCCCATGTACACATAATTTATGGAATATTCGTCTGGTTATCTCAATAGGTAGAGCGTTGAATTGGGAATCGGGCGAACCGGTCCGATACCCAGGCGGCGCAATTCAATTTCGTCGAGATTGATCATGGAATCCTTTCTACGTTCATTCTCACTGTACCTCTAGTCTGGCATGTACAGAAGTTATCAGTTCCTTGTGAAAGTGAAGGCAACTAGTACTAGTAAATTGGTTGACAGCTGGCCTAGGATCAATGCGGTGGCTGAACTATGCTCTGGAATATACAATGTGGCTCCCTGTCGTGATCTCGAAGGTAAACTACGGAATGCCGTTAGTGCCATCGCCTATGAATGGTTTGATCTGAAACGCGATACTCGACAGTACGATGATGAAAACGCGAAATCACAAAACTACGATGGTGGAAACGCGACAGTACGATGGTGAAAACACGATATTTTACCGCGTTTTCATCATTGTAGTATCGTACTGTCGCGTTTTTAGCATCGTACTATCGCGTTTTCATCATCGTGCTTTCGCGTTTTCATCATCGTAGTTTTGTGATTTCGCGTTTTCACCATCGTACTATCGACTATCGCGTTTTAGATCAAAACATTCATAGGCGATGGCCCTGACGGCATTCCGTAGTAAACTACACCACAAATACATACAAATTTATAGCTGAAAGCAAAATATCGTCAACATGCAAACATGGAACTTGTACTTCTGGTTCCTAAAAAATAATTACATGTAGTAGCATTTGAATCATTAATTTGTTTGTTTTTTGCTTGTTGTTTTCAGCAGAAACAGTAGAAACATATTTCTGCAGAAAAAGTGCTTATAAGACGGTATTTTACTTAAGTAGACTCAATGACGGTATGCTGAAATAAAACTATTATTAATCAATTTGTTTACAAGGTGGTATTAGGTCTAAACAACGTATTCGATCTGTGTTTTCATTTATGTTTGAAATTGGCTGAAAGAGCCGAAATGTTTTGATTGCCGAATATGCCGTAAAATTTCGATGAAACTTTTGAAGAGATGCATTTACTTATTTTACTTTTAAAACATCCATGACTTTGGCAAAGTCATGAACTTGTTTATTTGTAAACGCTTTAAAAAATCAAAATGTTTCTTTTGCTAAGTTCTGATTTTTATTAATATGCGGTTAGTGAATTAGCCTCAGTTTTATGTTTATCCAGGCTTTAGAGAATATTTTCCTTATTATAAGTCAAACAGGTAATGCATGCTCAGTCTGACTTTCGCATTAAGTTTGAATGAATAATAACAGGAAAAAAAATGTTGAAAAAAAACCCAACATATTCAAGATCAGATGACGCAAGTGACTTAACATAAATGCATGTCCACTTGTGCTGTCAATAAGTAAGTAATATGAAGAGCATCGATACATGAGGCTATCTGATTTGTTCGAGGGAGCGTAGCAATTAGATTACCGAGTGTTTTGTTGTTCTTTCTCTATTGTATCATAGTCAAGCATTAAAAATACGTTCCCTGTTGTCACAATATGAAACCTAAGAAGACAGTAACCAATGAAGTGCACTCCAGTTAACGCACCACTGTGCATGTATATGTACACGATTTAATTGCGACACATTTTCAACAGAAAGGTCCACAAACTGTGATAAAAGTTAATAAAATTACATTTAATTATACAAAGCGAACAATGGACGCAACAGGCGACATTCATTTCACGAGCGAATAAATAAGTATACAATAGTACCAAAATGATTATTTTAATAAAACTGTTTTATTGACATTAAATGTACAAATCAAGTTTCAATGTATCTTTTCTAAATGATTTATGTGTTATTTTAACCGCCATAATCATAAGTACATCAGTGCAAGAATTAATAGAACTATGTTGAATAAATAAGGAAATAAATACGCCTCAAGTTGTAGGTTCTTTAAAGGATAGGCGTTCAAACTGGTTAAAAGCGTAATAAGGGTGGAACTTGTACAGGAAAAATATGTGCACTTGATTTTTTATTACGATATCAAACACTGCGGTTACTAACTACTTTATCATTTGCATGAGTTTGACCTGAATACGAATACTTGTTTCTATGATAAATACATATCTACTATGTGATGTGGTATTGTTTACAAATGACGGACATATATTATATTTTTAAGCGTTCATAGAAAGCAGTTTAAGGATTGTAATACAAGATACATATTTATAAAATTATAATTAAAACAATATCACGTCTTGAAAGGATGTCAAGTAAATAGTATAGCGACGGTTAATGATAAAGTTTCTTTAAGGCCGAAAGAGGAAGTTTATTATACACGTACTTGTGGTTTTTTTCAATCGTCATAACTTTTCAGTGGCGCGTTTATTTCATTCAATAAATATCGATGAGTCAGTGACACCAGGTTATAACGTAGTGAACAAGATTGAAGATATTCTCAGTTTATATAGGATATAAAGTAAAATAAGGTATTCAGATTTTTTTTGAATAAAGTTTTAATTTTCATAAGTCCTATCATTTTAAACGTACTTACATATGTATGAGTCGAGATTTTATGTGTCGAATTTTTCGATGTGTCGAAGTTTTTTCGTGGTCCATATAAAGTAAATCTAGTGTAATTTACCACAAATAAGTCGAAGTTGTTCGATTATTTTGACACCTTCGATCTCGAGACATTTTTCACACCTTATCTGGCTGCGAAGACGATTTCCAATCAACTTGTGTGACAGGTGTTAATTACACAGCCGTGTGTTCAAACAGCCTTTGTTTGCGATAAAATGTGTGATAAAATGCTTTAATCGTTACTATTTTAATTGCCATAGTGGTATTTGAAAGTAAACGGTAAGAACTACTTTCATTTGAAAACATCCGTGACCCGGTGTCGCGTGAGAATAACACGCGTAATCTTTACTATAAGCTGGTTTAGTTATCGCCCTTTCGTATTGTTACGCCTTTTGTAACTCTATTGTATACGTAAACGGGTAGTCCAAATAATTAGCCGTGAAAAAAGTTATTTAACATTCTATATTTATCATTGTAAAATGTAAAATATCAGAATAATGATGGAAAAATATAAAATGGGGTTTGTTATAGATCTTATAATTAGGACTAGTCACGGGTCGAAATTTTGTCATGTAATTGAGAGCAATTCATGAGCCGAAGTCCCGATGTGTCGAATTTTTTACTCAAGTCCCTTCAACTTCGACTTACCGAAGTTCTACTGTATTATATTTGTTATCACCATAACCACCACCATCATTTTATCATTAAATCATTAATATCTTGTTTATCTTGAATTAACTTTAATACATGTATATCATTATCTTTATAAATCATTGTAGAATTGTAGTTTCCAATCTGTTTGTTGATATCCACTTCACTTTCGTTTCTAATAGTCTAATAAGTCACCGGTTATATATTCATATTGTGTCTCTTTTAAATAGTGTTTTTTTAAAGGAAGTAAATTAGAACTTTAAAATATAAAAGAAAATGAAATTAGATCAATAAGAAAGGTTGGAATTCAATGAACGCAACCCTCACACAGGACCACCTGAAAGGAGTCCAGCAGGGCACAAAACAGGACAGGGCAAGACGGGAAGTGATTATATGAATTATTCCAAACAGGAAATCATAGAAACCTACGATATTAAAAGTTCTTTTAATATCTTACACTTGTCAGAAGTATTATCATCATAATTATTATCTAAACACCAGTTTCATCTACACTGTGGTCATCATCATTCATTGTTTATATATTAAACTTCAGTTCTAGCAATGAACAAAGTTATTTCTTCTTATTATGTTATTTAATGCATTAATAGAATTGATAGTATATAAATAACACATGGGTTTGTGGGTAACAGTAAAAATATCATCCCGAGGAAAATACTGTTTTTTTACGAGGGATGATATTTACTCCAGGGTGCAAACAACTAAATTTTATGAGTGTCATAGGGACTCCAGAGGAGAAATTGATGTCCTTTCGGGGTTTAACGTTGAAAATAAGAATGAGTCGAGAAAAAAATGGCGGCCATTTTATTTCATTTTATTTAGGAAATAGACCATGTGACCTCTTAAAAAATACTGTTACCTATGTAACAGTACAAAATTCTTAGTCACGTGGTACACTTGCATTAACAGTAAAAATAACTCCCAGAGGCCTATGGGAAATTAGCATTACGAAAAAAGTGAGGGGTAATAAACAAACATGTCAACCAGATTCTTACGAGCAGGGAGAAGTAACATGTATAACAAAACCTGCCAAAAATCACAGTATTAAGTTTCATATGGTGTTTAAATTGAGTGGATTATAAAATGTAATAATAATAATTTAATAGAACCACTGTTTGAGATGCTTAAAGTAAACCCTCCTTCTGAAGAGTATTCATAATCAATTAGGAGACTGAGTTTACAATGGGCATGGGTTCAAATCCCAAGGGAGGGGATGACACATTTTTCATTGTTCTACTTTTTTGGTTACCTTTTTTCTGGTCAGATAATAATTTTCGTTTTTGTCTCATCAAAACTTACATATACCTTGTTCAATTCACCATTTTTTTTTCACATTAGCTTTTCTTTCGTTGTGTTTGTTTTCATTTTATAACTATAGTTCTGTCTTACCTCTTCTAAACTTAGATAAAGATAAAATGAGTATACATATTTCTTTTACTGATAAGAATCGTATTTGTTGTTGTTGTTGTTCAATATGGCTTGTACAAAAGTTAACTGAAATCGTCAAACCTTCAGAAACAAGATGGATATATTTTGATATTTTCTGTATGTCCTGAAATAGCAGGGTGTGTGATCACCTGATACTTGTTACACCGCTATAAAAACAGAATTTTTTGCTAATGTGTTGTTGTATCCCTCAATATTTGAACATACACCATGTTCCAGGCAAATATTTTTCGATTCCGATCATATTGTAGCTCTCGCACTGTTTTCTTTTAAGCTTGCAGAAATTGTGGCACATATCTTTATCAAAATACAAAGACAATGTCTGCAAGTATATCGGTAGAATTAACAAAGATCTGCAATGTCAAGTATAATACCATTCGTACCGGCTAATAATTACATGGAACATGGTTAATGCTTATTATTCAAGTACTGAAAGATGTAATGGAAAATAAAATAGCGAAAACCATTAGCGGTGACCCATTGCTACCGTTAACAAATTTCATGTGATCTATTTAAAAGTTTATTGTATCATATTTTTGTATTTAATAACAAATATTGATATATATAATAAATACAGAGATAGTTTTAAAATGATATACATGATAAGAACAGATAAAATGTATGCAAAGCTATCTCAAATTTTCCTTTCTTTTGTACAGTAGAACAATGGCATATTTGTACTTGAAATTATCAACTTCCAAAGAGCTAAATACATCATCAGAGTCATTATCTTCAAATCTATCGACATCAGACAACTCATTTACATGGTCGAGCGAAGAAAAAGAAGAAGATGAAGTTTATTTCCAGAACAATTTAGAGTATGTTTCATAAAAAGATCAAGTGACCATGTATGTGTCTGTTTCCGTTAAATATGTTAATAATTTGAGTTTAAAGGAAGGCACAGGCAAACTTTTATTTCTTCTTTCTGAATTTGTAATCTAATATTTTGTTAATGTCCTCTAAATGATTACAGTTGTAGGTGCAAAGATTTCTCACCCACGTTGGTCAGGTAAGAACAGTTAGATTTAACTCTAAATATTGCAGTGGCTTATGGGAGCGAAATATTACCCATTAAGAAAAAATACCTACATTTAATTCAAACTTAATCTGCCATGTTTGTTCTTGAAACTTCAGAGGTTTGTTCTTGTGGTACAATTTGCTTTATCATAATTTGGCGCTTCTGTATGATTTTATTTGAATTTAACAAACGGACTTTACATCACATCTAAAACAAAATCATATATCATTTATATACATACAAATATCCTGGACATTATAATACCCCCGTTGTTAGTGCGATTTGAGTAAATTAAAACAATATAATATTTTGGCCATTCATTTGCCTGTGTATACATTTACGTTCCTAAAAACAATCTTGTTGATTAAAAGTTTTTTTAAACCACGTCCAATGTCATAATCGGATACCCACGGCCATTTATGTTATGTTACATGTCAGTTTCTATATTCAAACGACTCCTATTTATAATTTAATATTTTATTTTCATGTCGACAGCGTCTCTGACGAATGTGAATGTGATCAATGTTACTCGGGGTAATCATTTTATTTTTTATTTATTTTTTTAAGAAATAAGTCATTCAGATAACAACAAAATTTAAATCATTGTAACAAAACACTCATATCTCCCTTTTACATTAGATTTTTAACGAACTTATATACATAATTATCATAGCCTTCGGAGAATTTAAACAACGGTTAAATGAAAGCTCTTAGACTAATACTCGAATACTTTCTGTCACAGGGCTTATAGAAAATCAGCGTGTGGCCCAAGGACAGTGTGTTGGTTTATTTCATCATTAAATAATGAGATTACAGACCTGCGAAATAGGTAAGTATAAGTATAATCGCCGTTGTATTTTCAATTATATCACCATAAACATTAACTTTATTTTTTTAAGTAATCTGCTTTTATAATATATCAACTTATCCTTTCTTTATGTGATGTTTTCGAACGTTGGTATTGGTAGGCATAAACTAGTCAATGTTAAATTAACATAAAATTATATATTTTTTTCTGGAGAAAATCAATTATATGATAATGCTAGAGTATAGTTAAATTATATAGGTATATTGTAGAAATAAATTTTCCTCTAAATTTTAATCGCTTTATCTTTAAAAAAGACTCATTTATAGCTTAGGATATAACATAGTGTCATATACCATTGGTCGTTCTCTACATGTTTGTATGCACTGGTTTGTTTTTTTTATTTTAGCAAACAACATCTCCAGGAAAATTTGATTAAGAAAGATAGGGAAATAAAGGATAACAATTCGGTAATTGAGAAATTAGAAGAGCAATTCAAAATGTAAGTTTTGAACAGGCAAAATCAAACCGAGCTTACAACAGCCTAGCACCACAAGTGAATGATAAATTTGTAACACTATTTTAGTGATAGAAATTGCAACGAACAAGTACGGTGGCACACAGGTGATATGTGTGTGTGTTTTAATTTATCTCGTGCGCACGAGATACTATGTCGTGGCCACGAGTTACTAAGTCGTGGCCACGAGATAGCTAAGTCGTGACCACGAGATACTATGTCGTGGCAACGAGTTACTAAGTCGTGGCCATGACAAAGCTTAATCGTGGCCACGAGATACTAAGTCGTGGCCAGGAGTTACTAAGTCGTGGACACGAAATAGCTAAGTCGTGGCCACGAGATACTATGTCGTGGCCCAGAGTTACTAAGTCATGCGCACGAGATAATTAAGTCGTGGCCACGAGTTACTAAGTCGTGGAAACGAGATAACTAAGTCGTGCGCACGAGATAATTAACCAATCAGAATACACTAAATATATTATGATTTCTTTTAACTGAACAACTTACTTTTACATGCAACAATAATCTTTGAAAATACTGAAGATATTCATTTTGCCTTTTTCTTTAGGACCATATTAGAAAGTCACCTTCCAAAGCCCATCAGACAATAATTTTGACTAAAGCCCTTTGTTGAGACAATTTTGTGATCGAATTGGTCACTTTGTACATACTATGACCTGTTAACCTTGTTAATACGATAACATGAGACGGAATAAGTCCTGGTTTATTTTGTTAGGAAGGGACTGTAGATAGCCTATAAGGATGTTTGACGTCAAGTGTCAAGGTAACCATGACACTTCATGTAAAATCCTAGACTAATGAATAATTTAGAAGGGATAAGCCATAGTTTATAAAATCCAGAAAAATCATTGCACCTGATCAGTAGATGACATCTTATGATTTCGAGGTCATTGGGGAAAAATCAGGGTCACAATGACGCTAAATGTACAATTATTGACCAGTCAATAAGTTGTATAAATGGCACTTTTACAGGCTGGTGAAATAGGGGCATCCTTGTACTATAGCACATGTCTAGTTAATTAAAAAAAATCATAGAAATGGTGTAATCTGATTGGTTATTTATATCGTGGCCACGACTTAGTAACTCCTGGCCACGACATAGTATCTCGTGGCCACGAATAAGTGACTCTTGGCCACGACATAGTATCTCGTGGCCACGACTTAGCCATCTCGTGGCCACGAATAAGTAACTCGTGGTCACAACAAAGTATCTCGTGGCCACGACTTAGCTATCTCGTGGCCACGACTTAGTAACTCGTGGTCACGACATAGTATATCGTGCGCACGAGATAAATAAAAACACACACACATGTCACCTTTGTGCCACTGTAAACATGTGCTGTAATGTAAATGACATTTATTACATGTTACTAAATTATAGATGGTATATTGTGTAAAACATTTAAATATTTGAAGTCACGTAAACCTATTTTCTCCAAAATATTATAACATTTTATTATGACATTATAACCTCGGGATGTTTAATCTTCTTCAATAAAGGCAGCGGTAATTTCATGCTACAGTCCGCGTGCATAACACTGTTCAAGCAGATTTGAATATTAGAATAGTGGAATTTTTAATTCATTAAACTTAGATTTAACTTAGCCTTTACCCGGTTATAATGCAGTAATATTGTTATTGCAACGATTTACTCCACCATTGTACATGTTTCAGGGTGAGTGAGAAACTTGAGCAAATACGTAACACAACTGATAAACGGTAAGGCGTTATCATACTACAATTAGATCTGTAGAAAAAAAGAAGAAGAAACAATTCAATATAAATCGGCCTCAAACACAAAAGTTATCTTTAACACTTTGAAAGAAATTAATAACAGCAATATCAGGACTAACAGGTTCTAGTGTTACTAAATTGAAAGAGACTTATTAAGAGTATTAAACACACACATATTAAAAGCACATAAGAGGAAATTTTGAAGGTTTTACAACACCAGAAATAAATAAATAAATGCTGTTTTTATTGGTTTCAACAGAATTTTACCCTTTATTGTTTAACATGATGTTAAATAGAAATAATTCTTTCATTTTAGTATACAAGAACTTGAAGAGCAACTGAATGAAAAAGATCAAAATACAACGGAGAAGACTAAGGCGATTCATTCTTTGGAAAATCAATGCAAAATGTAAGTTTCAGTACAGAAAACAGATGATTGCTATACTGTTCTCATTTTACGTTTATAATGAGCTTCAAAATATAGCAGTAAGTATCTGACCGTCGGCCCTTTTCAGGCACTCTTTTGGTAAGGACATCGAACATGATAGTATGAAAACTAGACATGTAAACAATCATTATCATGATATCGGTGTTTTTGAGTTAGTTTGCGTTTATAACAAATGCAACAAGTCCATTTACATACACTCTTAGCTATACAAGTAAAATACGTTATTTATATAATAAGTTTTGCGTTTTTCGAAAAAGAAAGTACGGACCGTATCACTTATTTTTCAGATTATGTTGACATTGATTTGCAATCGATATTCTATAATTGATTCCTGGCCCATTGTCATACATGTTTTTCAAAAATAAGTTGACTGTAATTCACGATATTTTTAATGTCAAATTATTTTCTAATTTTAGTACACAAGAACTTGAAGAAAAACTGAATGAGAAAGATAGAGATATAATAGAGAAGAATGAAGTGATTGTCGCTTTGGAAAACCAATGCAAATTGTAAGTTTAACCAGCAAAAAATAACAAAGTCGAATAATATTATTTACACAACATACAATGAAAAATGAAATGCACTGATTATTGTATATTAAACTTATATAAGTATCTAGTCTCACGACATCCAGTCTTTTAAACATTTTAAGCACTCTTTATAAAGATGCTGCATGTTTAAAATGTATTAAATCATCAACACAAACTTATTGATGAAATAAAAATGGCCAGTTCATATCGCATTATATTGGAATATTGGATGAAAAGGATGATCTTTTATACTGGTTTACAATAATAGTGCATTCAAGAATGGCCGAAATGATAACATTTCCATGCTCGGTTTAATTAGGACAGCGGTAATTGTTTGCGTCATAAGCGGACTTAAATATAAAAAAAATAACGTAATAGATAATCCAGAAAGCTCATGGTTAGCTATGATTTCCCAATATATATATGTAGTAATGTTGTTATTGCATTTATGTATTCAACAATTCTACATGTTTCCGGGAGTGTGCGAAACTTGAGGAAAAATGTAAAACAAATAACGAAAAGTACGATGTTGGCATGGTACAATAAATTATGATACAATATTTTAACATTAATGGTCTTCCTAATTAATATTAAGAACTCTGAGGATAGTATAAGTAAATGAACCCAACACAAATATTTAAGTGTTACTCAACTGGAAGTAAAACTGTCTTCTGTTTGAAAGCATGCTCATTATAATGAGATAAACAATCTGATATTGACATATATAATGCTTGCATAGGAGGGGGCATCTTGAAGTTTGTTAAGCAACATATTTTTGTGTTTTATTCTTTTATATTACAAATGATGCTGTCTGGAATATATCTATTTTTATCACACACCCGTGCCGATTTTGCGACTCCGTAAAAATGGTATTGCACGGCCGTGCGTATATTTTGACGTGACGTCATTAGCGTTATACAAACATAGTGTAAAGACGCGCTAAATGCTAGTGTTATACTATAGGCACATCAATGGAAGATGACTCTTATTTCACTTTAAACGGTCTTTATGTTGGGTATATGATAAATAGAATATTAAATTCGTGTAAGTTCATTACTGAATTTTTGAACTCGTTGAATAAAATAATATGATGCTCGCCAGAGGCTCGCATAATATAATTTTATTCAACTCGTTCAATAAATTTAGTATTTAACTTACACTCATTCAATATCCTCTATTTATTTTAGGATACAAGAACTTAAAGAATCACTTAATGAGAAAGATAAAGATGTAGAGGAGAAAAGCAATGTGATTGCCGCTTTGGAAAAGCAATGCAAAATGTAAGTTTAAGCAGCACTAACAGTGAATCGTAATGTGTTTAGTATTATAGTAATAATCTGGTTCTTCAAATTTATTTATTTATAAACATGCTATATTGACATATTGATGCAAATGAAAATTGGTATACTCATATCGCGTTATAGATATAAAACTTCTTTAGCCTTGCTAGTGAAATTTGGGGAAAAAAAGATGGAATACAGATTGTACCTAAGGTTACAGACATCATGTTATAAACATGAATAGCCATAATCAATCTCACAAAGATACGCGATTGATAACTTGATTTAACTTGAATAAAGCAAAAAAGTGATTAACATCATTTTTTTTGACAACGTCGGAAGAATCTTTATATCATAACGTACTTTGAACATATAATGTATCTGTTCGCTTCTAGTGATTTCATAGTGAATGTTTGATTTTCCAGTGATATAAATAGCAAAAAAACAAGTATTGTAAGAGAGGATGACATTTTACATGTGACTAAATAAGACATGGCATACTGTATTAAACCTTTCAATAACTGAACTCACGTGTATCTTTTCTAAATAAATGTTGGTAATTAAAAATTATAATATAATATTTGGTTTGTTCAATAGAACAGTGGTAATAACGTGCTATAATCTGTGTCGCAAAGCATCGGCCTAAGCAGATTCAGATATTCAAATAGTGTAATATAAAATTCAGAAAGCTCATGTTTAGCTTCGATTTCTCAACATAAGTATGTAATAATATTGTTATTGCATTAATGTACTCAACAATTCTACATGTTTCAGGGAGAGTGACAAACTTGAGCAAATATGTAAAACAAGTAATGAAAGGTACGATCTTGGCATAGTACAAAGTATTAGAAATGATAAAACTTTAAAACAATAAAAGGCTATCAAATTTATTTAAAAAATTGTAAGGAAAACATGAACTTATAACTAAAAAAAAAACAATAAAAAACAAACAAAAAACAGTGAAAGTGTTACTTTATTGAGAGCGACGGGTTAAATTGACTTATGTTTGAAACCATGTTCAATACGATGAGATTACCAATCCAATATTGACATATAATACATGCTTAGGAGGGGACATCTTGAAGTTTGTCAAGAAACAGATATATGTTTTACTCTTTGATTTAGAAAATGATGTTATTCGGAAATAATTATTCTCATTTTAGGATACAAAAACTTGAAAAAACACTGAATGAGAAAGATAAAGATGTAGAGGAGAAAAGCAATGTGATTGCCGCTTTGGAAAAGCAATGCAAAATGTAAGTTTAAGTAGCACACACAGTTAAATGGTACACTATTCTCATTTTCTCTCATGAGTTGTAATGTGTTTGGTAGGTGACACATTATCCGATCATCAAATTTATTTAAATATAAAGCTCATAAACGTACCTATTGATAAAAATTGGCATGCTTAAGCAGATTTAAATATAAAAATAGTATAATGCATAATTCTATAAGCCCTTGTCTAGCTTTGATTTCCAAATATATGTTTTTCGTAATGTTTTTATTGCATTAATGTACTCAACAACTCTACATGTTTCAGGGAGAATGAGAAACTTGAAGAAATATATAAAACAAATAATGAAAGGTACGATGTTGTAATAGTACAATTAAATATGATACAACATTTAAAAATGGATAGGCTTCCTTATTCTTTTAATGACAAATATTAACTAATACATCCAGCAAGAATAACATTTCCTATTTTACTAAATTTAAATGGGTATTTCGTGATTAACACTTGAAAGCTTATTCATTATTATGGGAAAACTAAACATTTTGTTACATATATTAAAAGCACGGGAGAGGATCCCTCGAAGTTTGCAAAGCAACATATATAAGAGTTACTCTTTGATGGTAAAATGATGCTATCTGGAAATAATATTCTATTTTAGGATACACAAACTTGAAGAGAAACTATGTAAGAAAGAACGAGAAATAACGGCGAAGAATCAGGCGGTTGCAACTTTGGAAAGTCAATGCGAAATGTAAGTTTCAGCAGCGAAAAACATTAGTATAATTTGTCTCAGATAACATGTATATTGAATTGTATTGTATTAAATATAGTATTATCTGGTAAATGGCAAACCTTTGTCAAACTTCGGGTAAGAACCACGAAAATGTAAATTCATTTGCACTGCATTATTTATATACTTATATTAAGTTTTTACCTTTTAATGTTTTAAATGGCTCTTGGCTCTTTAATGGCTCTTGTTACTGGGTCGGGTACTGGGTTGGGTTTGAACGCCACCTTTCCTTGTTGATCTTGTTTATCATATTTTAATGTTGAATTCTGCTTGGGCTTGTGCTGGGGGCGTGGACGGTGGTTTGCACTTGAAGAACCGTCCATGGACAGGCTCAATGAAACTGAGCCTGTAACATTTTTTTCAATCTTTTCCTTATTGGGCTTTCTTTAGGAATTCTTATTTACACTGTCTTAGAAACCAAAAGTACGAACTTTAAACCTATTGAAGGTTTTAGGTCGAGTTGCTTATAACTGGTTGACAACTGACATTCTTAAATCAATTCTGATTGTCAAACATATTGCCAATCATAATTTACTGAAGTTGATTATATTTTTCCATTTGATGTCAATTAAGTACATTTATCAAATGCCTTCGCTTCTCATTATACAAAGATTCTGAAGTCACGCGGTAAAACTGCTTTCAATCCGTATTAACTCCGGGATGATGATGAATATACGACATCCGTTCAAAAAATCGTTATTTAGTATTAATACCATTCACAGATGACGGGTTGGGGAGTAAGATTTTGATGTTGCCCAGCTGCATTGATTCTGTTGTTTTCAGCGGCTTGAGCAGAATCTAATCCTTATATTTCAAAATTATGCCACTTATAAATGGTTTTAAAGTATAGATTTTGAGTAGGAAAATGTAGAGAAATAACGGATAAGAATAAAGCGAGTAGCACTTTTGAAAACCATTAAAATGTAAAGTTCCCAAGCACAAAAGGGTGAATGTAATGTGAGTTTTATTGCTTTTGTATATAATACTTTTTTTAAATATCTGGAAACACTAGGTCAGCGCACTCAAATATTTTAGTTTTCTAAACATAGCTGCCGAAAGCATAAACATTTCAAATAAAGCAGGGAGGCTGGTGAAAAGTAAACTATGACATGTTAATATCAAATTATAGATATGCATCTTCTTTAAATTAACGTCAGTGATCAGTGTAACAAAGGTAAAAGTAACAGGGTTCCAAATGCTTTAGTTTTAAACATTCATTGCTTTAATTAATCGTTCAATAATTAGTTTCAATGTGGTTAGATCAGCGACTGTAGACGTTTTTTTTACTTTCAGAAATAAGCAAGAGGTCATGAAAATACAAATCAGTATAATTTTGAAATCATGCAAAACAAAAAAGTACAAGGAGAGCAAGCAAGTGAAATAAAACGTTTACAAAAATATGAGGAAATTCATCCAGCTCTCCAAGCTAAACGTGATGAATTACAAAAGAAATTGGACAACTACGGGACAACGTTAGCTAAAGCTAACGGCAAAATAAAACAGCTAACGAATGAGTTACGCACAGCAGGAAAGGAAAAAGAAGAACTATTGCATCGGTACGGTTTTATTTGTTTCCTCATTTATAAATAAAAAATATTTTGCAATTCAGTTATTCAAATCAGATGTAATATTTGTTTTCATTTCTACTCAACTAATGAAAAACTATGTCTTTCGTT